GACAACGACCCCATCTGACATAGTTAGTACTAGAGCTATGCGTCTGCCTGATGGCTGTAAAGCTTAGGATATAGACAGCAGGCTAGATAGTAGCAGGCCATATCACTATCAGAACGAATCAAACACTATAGCAATTTATGGTCGCAACAGAATATTGTCAGCACGGTCTGTTTTACAGCACTGCTGCTAGTGTAATTTTGTAGTTAAAATATTTTCAGTGACAGTAATCTCTAACAGTTTTCAATTATGGTAAGTCAGTCATGTTGCAACCTTGATGCTATGTAGAGTAATTAATGTGTGCTAGATTTGTAGTTTGACGGTATACATGACAAAAGGGCATTTTAAAAATAAGTGCGTAGATTTATAAATAGTAGAGCTCTATCATTGCAGATGTACTTGCCCACACGCACGCATGCATGCACGCAAATGTGTGTTATATTCATTTTCGTAGTAATGTTTGTTCAGAGTACTCTATTTGGCAAATATGGATTGAGGACACCTAGTACAAGAAATAGAATATTGTGGCACAGACATGCGATCACCGACACTAGAAAAGCAAACAACAAATCAAGTACTATACGACATTAAACTCAATCAGAAAAGTGGCATAGTCAGTAGCTGTGAAACGCTCAAGTTGCAAATGTTTAACATCATTGTCGTTGCAGAAGAGATTTTTAGAAGCAGTACTTAGTGGTAGTTTTCCAAAAATTGAAATTTATCTGGCCAATATGTGTTAGATGAAATACTCTCATTGATATCAAGTTAACTAAAACCACATGTTGGAGTTGTTCTTCTGGGGCTTATGGGACGATCACACGTTCTCCCAGACTTCTCCGTTCGCGGCAAGTGTTTGGCCTTGCGCACAGATTGAGCCCGTAGAGATGCTGAGAAAATTGCTTCGTTTATTCCGACGTAAAGTATCCCGAAGTACTAACTCGGCATTTACGCTTACTCCCTGAAGGCATTATTATCAGCATTGCGCGCGGTATACTAGTAAATTGTCCAAAGAATAAATTGGTCAATAGAATCAGCAACAGCAAAATGGAGATTTCTGTTGCTAAAAAATGGCCAAACGTTGGCGATGTATGGCTTTTATCCTAGTAAAAATGATTCCGTTGGGTTTAAATTCATGAAAATATATGAATAGGTATGGTTTATAATATAGGTAAAATGTTAAAGTGGGTATTATATGGTAAAAAATGATCGAAGTCACGAACTTTAGATCTGGGAACTTATAGTCTTATATGATACTTATAGTTATAGTCATGTTTACTGTCATGTTTAGAATTTACATATATAGTCAATCATCGGCCAATTATCAACCAGCAAAAGTAATGCACTTTTCTGATTGCAGAACGGCTGGCAATTAGGATGGAATGTGCTAACGCTTTCTGCCGCAAACAGAAATATATTTGAGATTTTTATGACTTTATAGTGATGGGAAAGAGAAACATGTATGACGATAACGCTTGGGTAGTCAGCCGTAGGCTATTTGCTGTACGTATATTACGGCTTTAAATAATAATGCCTCCCCCTATAAAATATATTATGTTTATATTTACATACATGTATAATATATGACTGTTATATACGAATGTTGCCTAACTCGTAAGAAAGTAATGTGTCGCAAGTATGCATGTGTGGATGCTACATCAGGGAGACTTGAGTAAAATATGCTGCTGTTTGTCACACACATGACACATCTATAGGTAAAATTATCCAAGGGGATATTTACTAATAAGGTGTGGTCCCAATGACACCCTCTAACGCTGCCACAAGTGTTGCTATTGTGAAGTACTACTAGCGAGTACTTGTGAAGTTGATTTTGTACTACCAAGGTGCTACTACCAAGATAAAGATTCGTGAAGGTGAGGCTACCTGATGGTTTTCCCTACATAAGAGAACCCAGTCCCCCTCGCACGCACGCATGCACCGCACAGCTGTGATGCATTCGAATTATTTCGTACATCTAGTCAAGAGCGTATAAAGAAGCTTCTTATACTTATAGGCTCTTGATCTAGTGAAGTGCCTCTAGACCTGTATTATCTCACACGCAACGCTTTCGCAGGGTTAATAGAGGCGGCGCGCAAAAACATCCGAACGGCATCACGAGAATGCCCCGAAATAGCAGTCGTCTAATCGGCGCATTTGTCGGCGGCGACGCTTCAATAGCGCGCTGACAAATATGGTCGACGGTTATTCCGGCGCGCGGAAACAAGTGAGCGTGCGGCGACGTCGTCGTGTGTATTTCACCGACGTAGGGTAGTTGCGATGGTGCATGCGACTAGACTGGCACCCTGTCTCTTTCACGTTGGTAATAGTACTGGTATGTGTATGTTGTGAAAGAGATCGGGGAGCGGTCTACATGCATGATGCACCGGCCATGACGACGGCAGCAGCGGCATCTCGACGTGGACTCTTGAACCCGAGGCGATCTATGCACCGGTGCGAGGCAGCGAGTTTCAGGCGATTATGGTCGATTCATCCGATGGTTCCTACGCGAGTTTATACTGCATGTGTGCATATGTGTGTGCGTGTGCGTGTGTGTGTGTGTGTGTGTGTGCAGTAGTGTTAGCGTGAGCGTAGCGCGCAGCAGTGTGTGCCTGTAGGTCTGCGGTAGCATGAGCCGTGTGTGTGCGTCGGTGTAGCGTGTTGCTTGGAGGCCGTGTCTCTGGGTGTAGTAGTGCGATAGATTTGATGTATATGTGGTGT